TCTCAGATTAAAAGGCATTTCATCAATCACCTAGTCCAACCTTTATTGAAAGCATGTGTCTTCTATACACTATCCTCAAAAAATTACCATCTAGCCTCTGAATGAATATTTCCAAAGACAGGAAACTCAAAGCTTCACAAGGCAGCCTGTGGCCGACAGTATTTTCCATCCGAGGAACAGCCTAATTAAATCTGGAGAGGGTCTTGGCACAGGGCAATGAATTGTTGGGTCACAGCATCTGGTATGCTGTGGTGAGCTTGTCATCCATGTTGGTGCAAGGAGAGCTCCCAGCAATGAAATCACAGGTATTTGAACTATGTAAGAATTGCAGGTTCAGATATTTTAAGTTAGGGAAGGAGAAATCTCTAACACATCAAGCACACATAAAAACTACAGTTTCTTCTTGTGTAGTATCCTAAGAAATGAAGCTCTGTCTACACATACTATCTGGTTTGACCATTGGACTCAACTAATTGATTAGTTCATTCTGTAGATTTTTTTCTTTTTTTTTCTTTTTTGTTGAGGCAGTAGGGATTAAGTGACTTACTCAGGGTCACACAGTTAGCATCTGAGGCCCGGATTTGAACTCAGGTCCTCCTTGACTCCAAGGCTGGAGCTCTATCCACCGCGTCACCTAGCTACCCCTGTACATTTTTTATAAATGTACACAAAGAACAGCAATAGTATTACAGTGGGATTTCATGATTTTATGAATATTTTTGTTATTATTTATTCATAAGAGGCAATGTAGACATGGATTCAAGTTCTGGCTCTGATGTATTCTTAGCAGTGTGACTGTGGATGAGTCACATCATCATTATTATCATGTTGATCATCATTGTTGCTATTAATATTATCATTATTTAGAAAAAACTTTTATTTTTGATAAAACATTTTCTGCTTGACTCTGGAGGGTAAATCTGGGACCTAGGGACTGGATTTAAGAAAAGGAAGGTTTTGGTTCAATTTAAGAATGGAATGGTCTGCCTTTTGGATTCGTGAGTCATTCTCTAAATGCCCCCCAGGCAACTATAAGTTATAGTCTAGTTGACCATATGTTTTAATGGAAGAATTTTCTGCATCTGAGTTCCCTACATGATTGAAATCACAAATCTGAGACCACCTTACACACACACACACACACACACACACACACACACACACACACACACACACATGTTATAAAACTCTAACTAGAGCAGCCATAGGCAGAACATAACTGAATTTATATTCCATAGAGAAAATCCTCAATGCTAAAAATGTAAATTGTACTTCAATTATATTAACAATGGGAATTATTTAGTTTTAATATAAGATTTAAAAAGCAAAGTTGCAGACCCCACAGAAGAAAATCTTCTGAGTTAGGATATACAAGTGGGTAACAAGTATTGTCAGAATCATTCGCTGCATCATTGCACCTAAGTTACTAAGACAAAAAATATTCCATGGGATCACGAGATCTAGAGTTGGAAGGACCATAGATTTAGAACTAAATGTGACCTTCAAGTCCATCTAGTCTAACCCCCTCATTTTACAGATGAGGAAACTGAGGTCCAGGAATCAAGATCACACAACTGGTAAGTAGCATTGCTGGAACTGAAACTCAGATCCTTTGACTTCAAATCCAGTATTCTTTTCACAGGACCATGTTTCCTCCCTCCTCTAGCCTCAAGCTGATTGACATCAACTTTCTCATTATTACAGCTCCTCCAGCTCCAAAATCAGCTCTCTTTTCCATAAAGTCAAGAGATCTTAGTCAGAAGTATCAAAAACATGGCTTGCAGACTGTGGCCTGAACCAGGTTAAAATGTTATTGGGATGTATTGAACAAAATGAATAAAAATACAATAGAATAAAGATAACATTAATATGTTGTTTTCTAAGTCAATATACACCCACAAGGATCCTTATGTACAGTTTAGTGGTCCTTGTTTCTATCTCAGTTTGACACCACTGTCTTAAAATGCAGTCCCCTTGTGTTACAGGTGAAGATTGGGCTTCTCTACCTCAACCTTTTCAAGTTGTGAATGTTGACTCTTCCCTGACCTGAGTTAAATGACCTCCTCCCTCACAGGGGCAGGTAGGTGGTGCCATAGTGCCTAGGGACTGCAAGCCTAGAGGCAGGAAGACTCATCTTTCTGAGTTCAAATCCAGCCTGAGACACTCACTAGCTATGTGACCCTAAGCAAGTCATTTAACCTTGTTTGCCTCAGCTTCCTCATCTGTACAATGAGCTGGAGAAGGAAATGGCAAACCACCCTAGTCTCTTTGCTAAGAGAACCCCAAATTGGGTCACAAAGAATAAGACACAACTGAAAAACAACTGAATTCTACAAACCAACCCCCAGAGAAGCAAAGTGATATACTCAAGGTCATATAACTAACAACCACATCACCTACAATAATAGTGATTGTTAGGATTTATGTAGTGCTTTGTAGTTTGCAAAAGTACCTTACATATATTATCTCATTTGATCCTGACAACAACCCTATGAGATAGGTGTTATTATTATCCCCATTTTATAGTTGAAGAAACTGAGGTTCGTCCAGGGTCACAAAGCTAGTAAGTGTTAGAGACAGGATTCAAATTCAAGTCTTCTTGACTAATTTTTCTTGAGATCTAGTACTCTATCCACTATAACACTTAGCTAGTAAGTGACATGGCCAGGACTTGAACCCAGCTCTAATTTTAGGTTCAGTAATCCATTCACTTGCCTAAGGCAGCACCTTTCACTTTAGGAAGTTTTGCCCACTATTAACCCAACAGCTTCTTCTCTATAACAAAATAGTCTAAGACACAGGTAGATGCATTTTGAGGGAAGATTGTGCCCATTGAAGATAATGGCATAAAAGGAAAAAATTTAAATGGAGCAGCAGAAATTAAAAATTCAGTGGAGCTCTTTCATTCAACAGAAGAGTGTAGCATGTTGTCTGCAACTTCTTGTTTACAGGGGTTTACCACAAATGAAGGAATGAATGAATAAGTGAGTGAAAAAAGCATGTATTAAGTTCTTACTACATACAAAGCACATGCTTATGTGAAGGTGAAATAAAAATAAAATGTTTCATGATAAATACAATAATAGAGTCTAAGTAAAACTTGTCTCCCATTCCACACAGTGACAGTAGATAAGAGGGAGATGAGATGAATAATATGGCTATCATGAACCTATATGGAACCGCCAAGGCCTGTGGAGAAAATTAGCCCTCTGTCATCAGAAAAATGGAGGTACATAACTTTGTTTCCCTATCAACCTAAACTTCCTGACTATTCTTTTACTTTATTTCTTAGAAATAAGGGATTGATATACTATGGGTTCTTCAATAAATATTTGTATTGTTCTATAGTAATTCACATTCTCTCTGACCCCTAGTTCATTGTTTTATGAATTGATTCTAAACCATATAAGTGGTCTAGAGACAGATGACAGATAATTAGATAGATAGATAGATAGATAGATAGATAGATATAGATAGATAGATAGAAGAAAGAGAGAGAGAAAGAAAGAAAGAAAGAAAGAAAGAAAGAAAGAAAGAAAGAAAGAAAGAAAGAAAGAAAGAAAGAAAGAAAGAAAGAAAGAAAGAAAGAAAGAAGAAAAGAAAGAAAGAAAGAAAGAAAGAAAGAAAGAAGGAAAAAAAAAGAAGAAAGAAAAGAAGGAAGGAAGGAAGAAGGAAGAAGGAAGAAAGGAAGGAAGGAAGGAAGGAAAAGAAGGAAAGAATGAAATGAAGGAAGGAAAAGAAGGAAGGAAGGAAAGAAAAAGAAGAAAAAAGAAAGGAAGTAAGGAAGAAAAAAGATTAGAGGAGGGGTTCTTGATTTTTTAATATTTTGATAACTATATTTCAATATAATTAGTTTCTTTTGTAGTCCTATGCATTTTACTTTATTAATTTAAAAAACATTATTCTGGGAAGGAGTCTTTAGGCTTCACCAGGCTGCCAAAGGGGTCCATGACAGAGAAAAAGAATCTTCTAGAGTAAAGGATCCCTTAGGTCCTGTGCAACTCTAATTTTATTATATGAATCTATAAGGGATAGGGAGAAATATCAACAAAGCAAAGTAATTTTATTTGGAAATATTTGAAAATGGAAGAAAGGGATTTATTGAACTAAAATTAATAATAATTATTTTCATTGATACTGCTAGCATCTTAGATTTCCTAGAAGGAAACAATAATTTAAGAGACTTTTAGCAGCATACACAATGCAAACATTTTCTTTAATTCCCATATCAAATGAAATGTATCCTGGATACCCTTCCCTCTATATAAGGCAGGGTCTAACTTGTACCTCAGACAAATCACTTAGTTAAGGAGGTACCAAAAAAAAAAACCAACTCATTATAAGACAATCTTACTGCTTCCTCTAATGCCATAAATCTCTCAGAATTATATAACAGCACTTAAAGTTTTGCAAAGTGCTTTAAATATACATGTTTTCTCTCTGCGTGTGTGAAATTACTTCTAACTTTGACTAAATATGGAAATTGAGTTACTGAGCCTCTTAACTCATCTAAGATTGTTTTTAGCAATTATTTCTGCTATTGATAAGTTAGAATATGGACAACATAAGAATCAGTGACTTCATGTGGATGCTTTTATAGAGAAAATAATATATAATTTTGAATGGAATAGTCACATCATCTGGATGGTATAAGGGAAGAAAGAGTATAGAATTTGTAACGGAAACAAAGTGTTCCAAAATGCTTTATGTGTTATCTCATACCACCCTCACAATAATTCTATGAGATAGATGCTATTATTATCCCAATATTACAGATGAGGAATCTCAGGCAGACAGAGGTTAAATGACTTTCCCAGCATCACAAAGTAAGGGTGGGAAGCAGTATTTAAACTCAGGTCCTTCTGATTCCAAGACTATAATTATATCCAATTACATAATCCATGAATAGTAATATGGTAAGGCTCAAATATTTGTTGAAATCCTAATGGTACTTCATTCTATATTCTCCTCTCACTTCTTCCAGCTGAAAGGAGAAAGAAATGGAAGGGACCAATAAGACAGTTCTAACTGAATTCATTCTACTTGGACTTTCCAAATACCCAAAACTTGAGATATTCTTTTCTGTGCTATGCATGACCACATATATAGTTATCCTATTCGGAAATGGTGTCATTATCATACTGAGCATTCTGGATTCCCATCTTCACACCCCCATGTACTTCTTTCTCAGTAATCTCTCCTTCTTAGATATCTGTTACACATCCTCATTTGTGCCCAAAATGCTGGTTAACTGGCTGTCAACTCGAAAATCCTTGTCCTTCTCAGGATGTGCAGCCCAGATGTCAATCTCTTTTGCCATGGGAACTACAGAGTGTCTCCTACTGGCTGTGATGGCTTATGACCGCTACGTGGCCATCTGTAACCCTCTAAGGTATCCCATTGTCATGAACAGGACAGTTTATGTGCACCTGACAGCTTTGTGTTGGCTAATAGGTGGCCTTAACTCTCTGTTTCAAACCATTCTTACTATGCAATTGCCTTTTTGTGGGAAAAATGTTATTGACCATTTCACATGTGAAATTGTGACTGTCATGCACCTGGCCTGTACCGACATCTCCCTAAATGAACTCATCATGCTGGTAGCAACTGTAATCTTCACCTTGACCCCTCTTCTATTAATCGTTGTTTCTTATTTCTTCATCCTCTCCACCATTTTAAAGATCCGCTCTGCTGAGGGGAGAAGCAAAGCCTTTTCTACCTGCTCAGCCCACCTGACTGTGGTAATCATCTTCTATGGGTCTGTCCTCCTCATGTATATGAAGCCCAAGTCCAAAGCCTCACTGACCACAGATAAGCTGATTGCCATGTTTTATGGGATTTTTACCCCCATGCTCAATCCTATCATCTATAGTCTGAGGAACAAGGATGTGAATGCTGCAGTGAAAAAAGTGTTGAGCAGAAATCTGTCCCTATGGAAACTGTGAAAGATGTGGTTTGGCTCTATGTTACACAGGGCTACAATTTACTTGGATACTTTGAATTCCTCATTTTGGGGTACATTCTCATACAAAGAAGATCACAATCCCTCCTTCCATGTGTCCCATCTTATAGAAGTCTGGTCCATGTTTTCTGATAAATTCTCAGCAGATGTTCTATCCAATCCAACTGAGGCCTTACTCTTTTTTTAAGTGACACAAAGTGTATAACTTGGATTGTCCTCCCATTGTTTCATTCTCACTATAGAGCCCTCCTGCCTCCTTTTCTGAACCAATATATTTGATAATGTCCCTTAGACTTTTTCCTGTTTTGGACTCAAGCCTTGGTTTGGTAACATGTTGCAGCCTGTTTGTTCATCTTTTCAACATCTTTTGGGGTGTTTGGAGGGTTTTTTTGGCCACAGCAACTCAGTAAAACAGCAGCAACTACATGACCTCTAAAACATGTTTACATTTATAGAATTTTTCATAAGAGAATATGAGACTCAGTTATCTACATTTAGTGTCCACATGCTGCTCTCTGATCTCCTTTTCTGGCAGAATAAAAGTATACTATAGTCCAGGGGTAGGTAACCATGGCCTCAAGGCCATATGTGGCCCTTTAAGTCCTCAAGTGTGGCCTTTTGACTGAATCCAAACTGTTCTGTGAGGTTTGGATTCACTCAAATGGCCACACTTAAGGACCTAGAGGGCCCCATGGAGCCTAGAGGCCATAGGTTCCCCACCCCCACTGTAGTCAAATGGTATAATATTTGTAATATGCCTAGAACAATGCTTAGAAGGAGCCTAATAAATGCTTGTTCCCTTCCCCTTTGTGTGTTTGAGATTCTGAAGCAAGTCAATAACATTTACTATATTCTAGTTGAAGAGATGCAAAATAGTATAGTGGAATATATATACATTATATGTATGTATAATATATATGTACATATATACACACTTATGCACACATACACACAATATATATGTAATCATATATATGATATATGATATTATGTTATTATATATAGATGTAATTGCAGTCTGGAAAGCCAGCCTTTAAATATTGCCTCTGCCATTTAATAGTTCTGTGACCATGGGAAAGTTATTTAATCTCCCTAAAACTTGGCCAACTCTCTCAGAATTGTCTACTAAGTTGTAGATGGGTTTCAATCTACAACGATGTTCCCCCGATGAAACGCTAATAAAGTAATATTATTTGATAGGTTCCTCTTTTCCTCCATTCCTTTCCTTACAGCCGACCTAAGAGATGGAAAGGAAAAGGACTAGGTATATAAAATCCAGGGGGTTTCTATAGTGAGAGCTCTGAGTAGACGGGGGAAAAGAATTATAGAATCAATAGTAGTAATAGTTAGCATTTTTATAACATTGTAAGGTTTACAAAGCACTTTACAAACACACATTTGATCCTCACAGGAGCCCTGGGACCTAGGTGTTATAATATTATCTCCATTTTATTGTTGTTTCGTCCATTAGTCATGTCCCATTCTTCATGACTCCATTTGGGGTTTTCTTGGCAAAGATACTGAAGTGGCTTGCCATTTCCTTCTACACCTTATTTTACAGATTAAGAAACTGAGGCAAACAGGGTTAAGTGACTTGCTCAGTTGTTGAGGGCTTGCACTGATGAGTTTCAGAATTTAGGTCATGCTGGGTTGTTCCTGTACCTAGGTCAGAACGTAGGCTCTCTGACCTCTCCCAGGCACTGTCCTGCCCTTAGAAGATGAAGGATTTTCACCAAACCTTGAAAGATAACCGGGAAGTGAGAAGACGACTTTGGCGGGGGGACTCCCCCCAGTTACTGTTACCATGAGAAAAATTATTGTTGATACTTGGCTTTTTCCACTCTGGTTCTGTTCCCATGAATGGGTATAACAACCATAGCCCTCAGATCAATAAACGGAACTGGTTCTGAACCTGTTACCCACCTGGCCTGCGTATCTCTTTATCTCTCTCATACTCTCCAGAAAATAAACACTGTCAGGGACACAAATGCCTGCAACACTCAGTGTCACACAGTTAGTAATCATCTGAGACTTGATTTGAATTCAAGTCCTCCCAAACACAAGGCCTGAATTCTATCCACTGTGCCACCTAGCTGCTCCCATTTTATAGATGTAGAAACTGAGACAGAGAGAAGTTAAGTGACTTACCCAGGCTCACACAACTAGTAAATTCTAAGGCCAGATTTGAATTCAGGTTTTCCTAAGGCTAGGCTCAGTGGCCTATGTACCACCAAGCTGCCTCTTGAACTCACTTGGGCAGCAGTTGCTACCTTTGTGCCAATCCAGTCCACATTTCTAATGTATTCCTCCTCTGCTTCTTCCAGTCTGTTCTGAGTCTATGAATGGCTTCACTAAGTGACCTCAATCCTTAACCCCAACTCCACTCCATAGGCAAGGCTCAGCTCCTGGGCCACCCACCTCATTCTCAGCTACCTAGCAGAACAGTTAACATGGAGTCCCAAAATTGGCTTCTCTTTCCTCTCCAAGATTCAGGCCCACAAAAAATTCTGGGTGGGAGCCTCTCAAAGGGCAAAGAAAGCATTTCTGGATTTATGTTCCTCAGTAGTAGCTTTTGAAGATGAATCACCTAACTCATTTGTGTTTATTTTTTCCTTTATAAACTTGACTAAGTACAGAATTGGGAGAGAAAGGGGGCTGCCAAACAAAAATGTTTGACAGAAGCTCATACAAAATTAGAACTGGAAATTATCTAATACAACTCCCTTATTTAATTCACAACAAAAACAATTGTTTTACTGAAAATATTATTGGAAAAAATTTTAGTTTGAATCACTCTGCTCATTTCTTCATTCCAGTAAATACAGGATTTACTTCAGGAAAATCTGGATTCAAAGCCTGTCTTTGTCACTTACTAGTCATATAGCCTTGGACGAGTGAGTTGGTCTCAGTTCTTCTCTGTCCTAGCCAGAAACTCTGAGAGTATTCTCTTCCCAGATTGATTCTTTTGGGAAGGCAAAGTAAACTGTCTTTTTTCTCAATTCTAACCTAGCCCTGAATCACTGAATGGGTGCTGCCTCAGAGAAACTGACACCTGGGAAAGACCTTAGCTTAAAAATGCCAAGTTCTCCCACTGCACCCAGGGCCAGTGTCAGTGGATCTAATTTAAGTCTTGCCACTGGACTCCAATGATTGGAAAGAGATCGAGGCTGATAACTTTGTAAAGCCCTGCCTCACTTAAATCCAATTCACTTGAAAGTCAAGACATCACCCTCATGATGTCCTTGGTCCTCTTTGAGAACTAAAGTCAAACAATGATAACAGTATGCATATGCACCTGTGTATCTCCTAATATATATGTATGTATAGGGAGACATAGAGACAGAAAGACAGATGACTAGGTAAACAGATGTAGATACATAGATAGATAGATAGATAGATAGATAGATAGATAGATAGATAGACAGACAGGCAGGCAGGCAGGAGGCAGGCAGGCAGGCAGATAGATAGATAGATAGATAGATAGATAGATAGATAGATAGATGGATAGATAATTAAAAGCTCTGTCTTAATTGTCCAATTTGCCTGACCCACAGCCTTAAATTTCTCAGCTATTCTTCAAAATTCTCCTTCCCTAAAGCTGTATTAGCAAGAGATGTTTTCTTCTTCCTTTGACTTACTCTTCAATTAGAATGCACTAACTTCTTTCTAATTGCTCTGTGGACCATTGTCCCTGAAGCATCAGAAAGTTTCTATATTCGGCACTTTCCACTTTTCAACTTTAAATTGCTTTGGAGATTAGCCTTGATTGCATTGGGTAATGGCTGCTTAACAGATATTTACTGGGATTCATCCACCAGAATCTGGCAATTCATGAAATGTATGCAGACTAACTTAATGTCAGCAATTATTTGGTGATGTTTTGGAAGAAGTAAGGTATCTCTTTGAAGAGGTGGAAATAATTCCTCAAACCTCCAGGTAAGCCTTCGATATAACGACCAGATGACACACTGGAATTTTTCAATTTCTGATGATATCTACACCAGAATTTGGTTAGATAGACTATGAATAGCCTGAGTTATTATACTGTAATCTATAACTACTTTTAGACTTCAATACTTCACCTAGTAACTCATCATTTAGTAATTTTTCTGAATTGTAGCTGTTTCCTGTCCTGAGTGATTTGTTTACAAAGGCTTATAGCAAGAATTCATTGTTGTTCCACATAATATGTAATCTCATGCAAAACTCAGGAATTGATAGTAATAATTATTACTATTATGCATACAATAATCATTATAATATTATGATATAAATATAATATAAACATTAAAATACAATAAAGTGATATTATAATATAAAGTATAATAAGCATTATTATTATTATGAGTGATAATAACTAGCATTTATGTAGTGCTTTAAGATTTACAAAGTACTGTACATAAGTTAACTCATTTGATCCCCACAAGAAACCCCTTGAGATGATGCTTTAATGATCTTGATTTTACAGATGAGGAATCTGAGGTTGGGAGAGGGTGACTTTCACAGAGTCACATAGCTAGTAAGTTTCTAAGGCAGAATTTGAACTCAGATCTTCCTGTCTCCAAGTTCCATGTTTTATCCACTGTATCACATAGTTGAGGAAACATAGTAGATTTAGATGTTATAAATATTGTACAATTGAAATACTAAGATATAGAAAAAACAAATGTTTATTAAACATCTACTGTGTAAAAAGCTTGGGGCAGCAAGGTGGCAACTGTGGATGGAATGTTGGACCTGGAGTCAGGAAAACTCATCTTCTTGAGTTGAATCCAGCCTCTAATACTTACTAGTTGTGTGACCCTGGGGAAGTCACTTAACCCTATTTCCTTTGGTTTCCTCACCTGTAAAATGTGCTGGAGAAATGGCAAATCGCTATAGCATCTTTGCCAAGAAAACCCCAAATGAAGTCACAAAGAATCACACACTTCTGAAAAACGACTGAATAACAATAAAAATGTGAAAGAGCACCGAAGGAGAATG